AAATTAAATTATCCCGGCCGGAGTGATCAGAAATTGGTTAATTAATTAATTCGGCCAGAAGGCCCAGCTATGGTTCTGATCCTGACGAAGTTCCATAAATGGTGTGTTGGTTTAAATGAGCAACTTGCTGGTTCAGTATTATTAAAAGGATGATTTTTCGTAAATTAATGGATGGTGCGAATTTACTGTTACGCGTTACTGCAAATGCCCCTAAATTCGGGTTAGAGGGAAGGATGTGAAGGAATGCATATGCATTCATCTGGACTTCTGCTAATCTGCCTCGTCTCAAGGGCTGCCGCCACGTTGGCTTGATGCCGGCTGTCTTCACAGATTATCCCCAAATATAGTATATATATATATATATATATATATATATATATATATATATATATATATATATATATATATATATATATATATATATATATATATATATTGAAATCTATTTGGTTATAGTTTACTATATTTTTGTATAGTTTAATATCTAAATTATGCAATGGCGGGAGCGATGACGCCAGATATAGATGATGTCGTTGGTTGCGTGTTTCTGAACTTGTGAGAACCCCGTTAACACCAGAGTGCACACGCTAGGTATAAATAGAATAGAATAGAATAGAATGATTTTTATTCAATATGGATTATTACATAATACTTATTGAAAGTCATTATTTTATTTACCACTGGTTCGGAAAATACCTCTGTCCTGGGAAGAACCAGCAAGAAACCCAGCAGGACTTTTTTTTTTAAACATAATTTCACTTAACAATAATTTTGATTATACAATTTTAAATGAATTTTCATAGAACCAGCATGGTGGCGATCACCTTATTCCCAGGGGTTATTTTCACTCATGTATTCCTTGATATTATAATAACCCTTTTTGTACAGTTTTTCTTTAATAAAACTTTTAAACTTGTTTATTGACAAACTTTGAACATGTTCTGGGATTCTGTTGTAAAAGCGTATACATTGCCCCATAAATGAATTACTAATTCTGTGGAGTCTTGTAAGTGGCATTACAAGCTTATGTTTGTTCCTAGTGTTTAAGGTATGAACATCCTTATTCTTATTAAAGCTATTTATGTTTTTATGTACATACATTACATTTTCATAAATATATTGCGATGCCAAAGTTAATATGTTTATTTCTTTAAATTTTTGTCTAAGGGACTCTTTACAATTTAGATTATAAATCGCCCGTACGGCTCTCTTTTGCAAAACAAATATAGCTTCAATATCAGTCGCATTACCCCATAGCAAAATTCCATAAGACATTACGCTATGAAAGTAACTAAAATACACTAACCTAGCTGTCTCAACATCTGTGAGACTTCTAATCTTTCTTACAGCATATGCTGCAGAACTAAGTCTGCTTGCTAATTTAGATATATGGGGGCCCCATTGAAGTTTCGCGTCAATAGTAATACCGAGAAAAACAGTGGTATCCACAAGACTCAACTCCTCCCCATTTAAGAGCACATTGGTTTTCGAATGTTTTACATTAGGTATTGTAAATTTAATACATTTTGTCTTATTGCCGTTTAAGAGCAAATTGTTGGCGTTAAACCAATGTACTAGTTTCGATAGAGCATTATTTACATCGTCATATTTAAATGACTGCCGTTTCAGTTTGAAAATTAAAGAGGTATCGTCAGCAAATAATACTATATCGTGATTGTCCCCTACAAGATAAGGTAAGTCATTAATATAGATTAAGAACAGGAATGGGCCAAGAATCGAGCCCTGAGGAACGCCCATTGATACTACCGATCCGGAGGAACATTTACCATTAATGACGACTTTTTGAGTTCTGTTACTTAAATATGAAGTAATAAGTTTAAGCGCCAAATTTTTTACACCGTAATGTTGTAGTTTCCTGATTAATGTATCATGATGAACACAATCGAAAGCCTTGGAAAGGTCACAGAAAATACCTAAGGCATCTTGTGAATTCTCCCAGGCATTAAAAATATATTTCATAAGCTCAACACCGGCGTCAGACGTCGAGCGACCCCTTGTAAAACCAAATTGATTTTTATGAAGTAATTTATTTGTATTAAAAAAAATTAACAATTGATCCAAAATTATTTTTTCAAAAATTTTACTGAGAGTTGGTAGTACAGAAATAGGTCTATAATTAGCGGGGACCACTGTACTACCAGATTTAAATAAAGGTATTACTTTACTATACTTCATTAAATCAGGAAACACACCAGAATCGATACAAGTATTAAAAATAATAGCAAGATGAGGTGCAATTAAATCTATTATGGACGTAATCACTGTAACGGAAATCCCCCACAAATCTGCGGTTTTCTTTACATCAATGGTTTTGAAGTATTTTACAATATTATGCGGTAATACTTTTTCAAATCTAAATTCTTTTAAACAGGTATTAACATTCTGTTTAAGTAATGATTCGGCGACAGTTGGAGAAGCATTCAATGACTCTGTTGTCAAGATAGGAACATCAGTGAAATATTTCTCAAACACCGCTGCAACTTCTTGATTTGATTTAGTCAATTCATTATTAATTTTTAATTGATAGTTTGAATTACGAGGTTTCTCATGGATAAAAGGATGAGAAGCCTGCAAATCGGCTTTGCAGTACTTTTATTGGACAATAATTAACGAATCTCATAAGCCTTAGGCGGTAGTGCAGTGGCGCGAACAGTCTAGTTAGTCTGCCTCTCTCATGGGCTACAGGTCATAATATAAGTGTCCTAAGTGTACGAGCATCATGGAATAAAACTTGTTTAGTTTGGATGCAACACTAATACAGTAGAACGATGATTATCCGAATTAATTGGGACCGAGGTCGATTCGGATAAATCGGACATAGACTGGTAATAAAGAAAAACGAACTGTCACACATAGAATAAACTTTATTAAGTTTAACAAACACAGTTCTACAATACGTAAGTAGTGCACTAGAGAAAAGAGAGAGAGAGAGAGAGAGAGAGAGCATCAGCGCCGCGGCAGATAAGTAGTGTACTAGTGTCTAGCCTCTAGCTTTCAACCATAACAGTTGAAATATATCTGAACTCCAGCGAGTTCTTTTGTTTTATTTTCTTGCAACAAGTTCGAACTTCCAACTAAAGCAAGAAAACAAAACAAAAATTACATTATATACTTACTTACAGTACTTGGTTTTAATTTTTTATATTACGCTAAGGACCGATTCGGATAATTGGCGATTCGGTTAATCGGCGTTCTACTGTACAATAAATAAAATCAGATTTGAAAAGACAAAGCTTTTCGCACAAAGTATTAATTCTGAGATCCTGACTGCAATTAAAGTTCCGAGTATAAATAAGGAGCCAAATAAAATAAAGGTATGTAATAGGTATATTGTTCACATTTTTTGTGATCTGACTGCCTCTTCTAGTCTCCAAGATATAGTTATTTAACACATAAAAGATATCACACAGAAGACTAATGACCCACCACTGGGCACAGGCCTCTTCTCATCTTTGAATGGGGGCTTAAAGGAAAATCTGCTACGCTACTGCCATGCGTTTTGGCAGACTTCTACATTCGCTTATTTTTAGGTCGCAATCGCAAGTTTTGGACAGCGCATGTTTCTGAAATTTATTTTATGTTGACGTCATAGTCTCATTTAACCACGCAATGATCACAATTTGTTTGAGATATTATTTAGCAAAATCTGGGCTAGTTAACGAATATGTTTGGAAATAAACATACATACATACCGTAAAATAAACTATTACCCTCCTTTTGAGCTCCGTCGCAATCCGGTAAACAACTATTCAAATGCATTTTTGGGAAATAAATAAAACAAACGAAAATTCCAAAAATTATTATTTTTAAATCCTTACACAGACATGTATTCGACAATATACAACAAAAATATTAAATAATAAATCTGTACTAAGTAATTACAAAATTAATACGTGACTGTGCGACACGAGATCTTAGCACGAGCGGAATAACGACGCAGGATCTTGTGATATATAAAATATATTAAGTCATAGAACAAGTTTGTGCTAAGTATAGAATTTTATTAATTATTAATCCCCGAGTTCACTTGTCCTTTTTTGGCACAATAATTAAGTGTGGCTTTCGAGGCTATACTGTCGATCCACAAACCCAATTATCGACCGAAACCTGGAGAAAGTTACGCCCGGCAGTGTTTCGAAGATTGTGCCCAATGGGCCGGACTGGAAGCTCTTTTTTAGGAATCGGTAAAATTGCAAGTGCAAAGCCGATGTTAATCTTTTTTTTATAGAATTAATTTTTGGTTTTAGTAAAATTCATCAATGACGTATTGAATGAAAAATGAAAACTGATGAGTTTAATTAAAGTAAGAGTGATAATACAGGAGTATACTTTCCTCCTAGAATTCTGCTAAATCTATCTGTCGAATTACCTAGAAAAATGAGCACACATCTCACCCGATGTTAAGTGGATGCTGTGGCCCATAGACATCTATGTCTATCTTCGATTAAGAATCATAATGCAGATGCATTGTCACCACTAAGGACTAAGATAGAATGCCTAGTGTGATTGTTACCAGTAACAATGAATCTAGGGTTCCCTACACTTACCATACGGCACTTTTATGATGCCATTTCACGAATTTCTATGACATATTTGTTTAGCACAGAGGTAATCATACTCGAGAGCAGTGCTACCATTATTGGAAATCAAAAAGAGGAGCTAATGTAAAATTAAAATGAAACTTCGAAATGGATAAATGATTAATTGTGTCTATTTTAATGTAATATTTTTATTGGAAAAAAGTGAAGCGAGAAGTGTTTTGTGATAATGGCATATTCGACACAGAAAGAAGCTTAAAATAATTTTGTTTCATTCACTTTTACTATAATTTTATAAGCACAGACTTTGTTCATAAATATTATTTCAATGAATATCTTCAGACTTCAAAACACTAAATAACATGAGAACACAAACTTATACCTCAGTTCTTGGATATAAATTTCACCTCGCGCCGCTACAACCGCAAATTTAGCACTAGGTTATTCAATTAGCTTCTTGGCTTTGAAATAACGACGTAAGTACAGAACTTGCCACGTGGCCAGACCAAGAAGGCATACCATGGAGAATATACTGAAAAACAGCACTCGGTTGTTTGTTGATTCTGAAAACAAAATTATTAATTAGTATGTACCGACACCTACAGCCCACTGCTTGGCACACGCCACTTCTCATCTTTGAGAGGGTTTTAAGAGAATATACTGCTAGCTACTGCCAACAAAATGCTTCTTTAATATCTCAGACAGGTAAAGTTTTTTTATAGTGGTGACAAACGAGCATACAGTCTAACTGTATGGATGCTATAGCCCATTGACAACTACATTGCCCAAATAAGAATTAAAATGCTGATGGGTGGTTGCCCCTTGGGACTAACATGGGACGCCACATTGTTGTAAAAAGGGTCTAAGGTTATTATAACTTACCATATGAAACAACAGTACTATGCTGGTATTTCACTTTCAACTCCCTAACATATAAAAATGCAAGTGCTTGTGCCTGTTAATATGTTATGCTATTTTAATATCTCCCAAAGTTTAGCTATTTACTACTAGTCAGGACTCGACCACTTCCTGTGGGGCCGCTTCTGGAAGAAAGAGTTCATCATAAAGAGTCCCTCTTTCTTCATTAAGTCGGCCAGCTGCTGGCCCCTTGGGTTCTGTTGCCCTATTTCGAATTTCCCTACTTTCAGCTCACCATTCTATCTTGTACCTAGTTCTGCATTGAAGTCTCCCATTAACATCGTATAGTGGGTTTTGGAGGAATGCATAACTCTAGATATAACCTCATACATTTCCTCTACCTCTTCATCGGGATGTGCCGAGGTTGGTGCGTAAACCTGTATGCCCTGCCCCGCCGTTATGATGGTGGCCACCGTAACCAGGAATAACGGGGCCGCCGGGGACTGGGGGATGTCTCTTTGTAACTTTATTCTTGGGGGTATATACAGGAGATTATTAAGCATCATTAATTAAAAAACTATGCGAACAACTAAAGAATAAACTGTCGAGGAATATTGCGTGTTGAAGTGCTTTTTCATAATGCTCGTGCCCATCGATCTGATGTTGCAGGCGCTGCCATGCATAATGCTTAGTTTAAGTTGATGCAGCACCCACCATATTCTCCACTAGATAAAAAAAACAATTTGTAGATATATAATAATAATAATAATAGTCATTTATTTCAGGCTTTTTTACACCCATTTCAAATATCATTAAATGTTAAAAACAAAATGAAAATATAATTATAAGGATACAATAAATAAGATAATTAAAAGACAATTCATAGATATAGATTATATAGATCTATTTCATATGGTGTCAATTGCCCATGGTATTGAGCAGACCCTGCAACAGATACCGCAGCAGATACAGCAGCAAAAAAACCTTAGTACAGAGCCTTGTGGATTGTTCATTGATAAAACCTCTCTTTTTATTGGAGCTACACCTGACGGACTAATTGGTGATGACATGCTAGTAGAGGTGAATAGTCCTACTACAGAATCCAAAAATGGCCTAATGAATGCAATTGAGGCAAATAAAATAAAAACTTTGAAATATGATAAAAAATCTAGCACCAGAGCAATTAACAAAGAAAGTAATTTCTACTACCAGGTACAGGTGCAACTACATGTGACCGAACAGAAAATATGTCTCCTTGGAATTCGGGCAAATGAAAATGAATCTATTCATATTGAACGCATTTGAAAAGATGTCAATTTTTGGAAGACGAAAATGAAACGAATAATAGTAAAATTTCATTTATAATGGTTAGTAGCCAGAAAAAATATACCCTAGGCATTCACGCGGTATGCCGATTAGACATCTTTCATTACAAGATAAAGAAAATGTGAAGCTTTCATCACTTTCGCAGCAAAAATCATACAATGATTCTCAACCGGGCCTTAGCACACGTCCACTTCAGCTTCGTGGAATTTTGATTTGTTGGTTTGAAACCCCATAGCTATACTCTGCTGTCACATGGTTCCCCAAGAATAGAATGTAATAGAATAGAATAATTTTTATTCAATATAGATTACAGTACATAATACTTATTGAAAGTCATTTTTTTACTTTTACTTTACATACCATTAGTATCTCTCATTTCCTCTTCCCTTTTTCTCATTAGAGTAAAGTCCTGGACAATAGCCTCTGACAGATCTTCTAGCCTTTTCAGTTCCAACTCCATTGGCTTCAACTTTGCTGCTTCACCAATCTGTGTTAATTAATTTATAATAGTAAAACATGAAATTTCAAAATTTAAAAACGTAAAATTAGAAATTATGCATGCAATGCATATAATTAAAAAATATACAGGGTTATTTTTCAATATACACCCAAATTCGCAGAGAAGGTTCTGGATAAGTAATATAGGCGAATGGTGAAAAAATTAATAAAAAAAGTAAAATTTCATTCTTTTGTCTTTTTTATCCTTTAAATTTATTATGCGTGGTAATGCATTATTTTAACTGATTGTCATTCATAAATATCTAACGCCTACTATTTTACTACGCACGCACACATTCGTAAGGGTCGATCGGTAGGCAAAATCGTTGCGAATTGAATCGCACGCAGAGGAGAGTAATTGATGCCCATAAATCACATTCAATTTGGGATATATGTATATTTCCAAAAACTGCAATAACGGTATATCATTATTTATATATTTGAACTAAAGTATAAAATTTGACAACAAAAAGCAAACTATTTAACACATGCATCCTGCCTGTATTGGCATATGGGAGCGAACATATCAAACAAAGTCTCCATATGCCAACATGCCATGGTAAGGAGTATGGTAGGGATCAAAAGAATGGACAAATTAAGAAATAGCAGCGTCAGAAACAAAACTAAGGTCCAGGATATAGCTCTGAAAATAAGAAGACAAAAGTGGAAATGGACAGGCTACATGATCAGAGGAAAAGACAAATGGAGTAAAATAATTCCACAATGGTACCCAAGGGAAGGAAAAAGAAAGAGAGGTAGACCATAGAGAAGGTGGGATGACGACATTTAACAAGTCGCGGGAATTACATGAAGTAGAGTGGCCATAGAAGGTCAGAATGGAGAAGATTGGAGGAGGTCTTTGCACACCTTGCAAACAGACACAAAAATGGAACAAAATAATAATATATGAATAACAAAGAAATACTGTCTTGTTCCACTAAAGGCTTATATAATATATAATAATAAAATAAAATTTGGCAACTCTTTGAAAAATAACACTGTATAATATTTTATATAATTCATATTTTTTCATAACACTGTAGTGTCATTCATACTCATAATATAATATTTTTTCAATTAACAAGCAAAACCACTAAGAGACATGTTAATTTAACTATCATTTAACTAGGAGTGATATGAAACATCCTTTTAATTTTCTGTAGTCAATGTCCATATTAAACATTCAAAACGGCAACACACTCAAACACACTTAATGGGTGTTAGTCAATTTCAAATTCTCACAGATTATTACCCAGTTATTCTAGCAGATTGTAGTAGACAGTAGCAACGGTGACCAACCGATAATAAAGACATTAGAATTAATGAATATAAATAAATAAACGTGAAAATTACAGTGTAGAAACTTCTAACAAAGTTACGCTAAGTAAATGTGATTGTTTCTGTTGTATATTAAAGTGGCAATCAGCTGACAGTCCATCTGATGCTGACTATTGCAGCCCATGGTGCCCAACTTAGGTCAAAAAAGGCTATATAAACAGAACAGTCATACAACATATTACTATACTAGATATTTCCATACCCTTGAATACATAGCAGTGAATGCAATGCTGCTTAGCGTCAGTGCAGTGTCTAGTAACAGGATGATTCCAATCCACATAGAATCATAGGTAAAAATGGAGCCCTAATATTTTAAAATATCACGATTTTCCAAGAGTGACTTTAACAAGTTTTTTAGTTAGCTCATTTTATTATTTTTATACAAGCTAACTCGACTACAGTGATATTTTAACTAATAATATATTTCATATAAAAATTATTAATATTTATTTGAAATGTATTCATTGATACATAACACAAAACTTTTACACATGTTTTTAGCAGTTGTAACTATTTTAATATATTTATTTATTAAAATAAATTTTGTTCAGATTAATAAAATGATATGTATTGCAAAATATAATACTTTTCTAGCTAATTCTTTTCAGTTTTATTCATCAATGTTTCACACATTAGTTTGAAAAAAAAAACATAAGTATTTAAAGAGAGTGAGTAACATGACTTCTACATGTAAAGCCGAACCTCTCCACTTCGCGTCCAAAGTATGCAAAAGATTAATAATAAATATTCTTTATTGATTTTTAATTAGTTTTTACATAAACTACATATACATCGCAAAATATATAGTTAAAAGCATAAAAATCAGTCTACCAGTTCCCTATTTCAATACCAATCTTAAGATAAAAACATTTGTCTCTATGAAATTGCCATATAGTAAGTTTGATGTCACAACTGTGACATCACTTTTAAAAATCAGTTGTTTAATGTTTGTTTCCCTTTCTTTTGTGTTTTTTTTTTATATTGATGAGTCTGCCAGCATTAAAATATTGCTTTTTCAGGAAGACCTGTGAGGGTGTTATTCATTACAGCTTCTTAAAATCTGTGGCAATAATTACTGCAGAGGTATACAATACTATCTAGAATATCAAACAATGATGGACAAGCTTACTATCAGACAACTAAGACTTATCGATTGCTCTAATCTACTACTTGTCTATTGGAAAAATAATCTACACACTGCACAAATGGGCAATATATTGAAATTGTATTGCTTTGATTGAAAGCTCTTTGACATTCATGACATTGGTCAGACCTTACTAAATTCTGTTTATTCCAAATAAGAAAAAAACTATTGTTATTATTGAATATCTTTGTACAGGAAAAAATTACAAGGCAGGATAAAATGCCTTCAACCACCTAATGCCCACGATCCTATCTTACTTAGTGCTATGAAGATACAAAGTACTTCTACTACTTGGTGGTGAACCCAGATTTAGTCAAAATCCATAAGGATCAAAAGCACTTTTTCAGGGGTTCTTTTAAATAAGAAGTGCATTTGCATTTGATCCGAAATAAAGATTTATTATTATTTAAAGCATTGTTGCTTCTTTGCACTGCTATATTGCCTTTCTACACCATTTTCAACTGCATCAGAATTTTTAATCTTAAGAGCTAGATGTTAAAATAACACTGCCTTATTTAATGAGATCTCAGCCAAAATGTCATTTTATCACCTAATGGCACTCCAAATTCACACATTGACCCAAAATTGAAATCTTTAATTTGATAGTAAAGCATTAAGATGATGAACACTTTCAAGAAATTATGACTCCTAAGTATCCTCCTATAAGGCCCACAAAAAGGTTATTTTTGTATTTTTTAATCCATTCACTTATAAAGAAACACATTTGTGCAATCACCTTCACACAGTTGCTTTCTATTAAAAAATCAAAGCATTAAATAAGTACTGCCTTCAGAATTTTTGTCAATTCCATGACTGACTTGACACTGGCAGAATTCTATGAAGAGAAGCCATAATTTAAAAGAAGAAGTATTGCCTTCAGAATTTTTGTGTAGAGGTATCAATGAATGGCAAAAATGCACTGATAAAAATGTTTCATACATATGTACTTGAACTAATTAAAGATATATTTTATTTATTTGCATATTTTTTTTAATGAAACAGCAATTTCATAGTTAAGGACCTAGTAACAATGAAATGCAGGTTAAAATATATTTGCTATACTTACACCTTCATAGTTTTTAGCTTCAAATCCAACTTTTATATTTAAAAACACTTCTTGACTGACTCCTCTACGCTCTGAAAGTTGTAAAATGTTTTATTATAAATTATTAAATTATTTTTGCATGTGGTTTAGTAATGACTTGCAGTGCTAAGGGCTGTGGGTTTGAATCCTGCATGGAACAAGTTTTTGTATGGCCTACAAATAATTGTTCTGGGTCTGGATGTTTGTCCTTGAGTAATTTGTGTGTATATGCTCCCATGATAGAGGAGAAAATCCTAGTGTAGAGAGGGGTAAAGGGAGGTACTGTTTTTAAAAAAATAAAACAGATTTTTTTATTGAATAGGTGCTGTGTGATGGTGGCTGCATAAGTGAATGTCATGGACTATGAGAAATGCCAGAAAGACCTCCAAAACCCTTTCAGCAATAAGAGAAAGCCAATGCCCAGTAATGTGATGTGTGTAGGCTCTTATTACATGACCAAACAATTAGGCCCATGACAGCTAAGACGTCATTAGAACTAGGGAGGGAACACGGAATGGTAATTGGTCACTAGGGGAAGCATGGGGACAGAAGCAGGGTGTGGGCACCGAAACCACATTCCTGTCATGCACTTAATTGTTTTGGTCAAGTTGTCCTTTACATGCTGATATAAGATATTTCCATCTAAATATAACAAGGCAAAACCCTTCAAGCCAATTCCACCAGTCATCTGTATATAATATGCAATAATTTTATTTATATTACTGAGAAGTTGTCAGATTTATGAAGATATTGAGAAATATGTTCATATTTACAATAACAGAAAATATAACTGATGAAATTGTTGAGAAGATGCTTTAGCTTATTAAGAAGATTTTGATTTAAATTTGGATAATACATGCCTGCTTAATAAATAACTGGTGGCATGAATAACAGCACAAGCATAAGTTTAGTCATAAAGGGAAGAGATTTTTTAAGGGTCATTAATTGTCAATCAATAATTGAACAATGTTTTATCAACCAGTATCTGTCGACCAGCTAAAGCTACCACACTAATCAACCAAAGTCGATCAATGACTTCGATCGACGATTGATAGATTAGTATTTTAACACCCTAAGTCATGTAATGAGTGTATAGCATCAGAGACTAGGAAATGTTTGAGGATATGGACCAAGCCAAGATTTTTAATAAAAGAAAAAATTGGTATTATGCAATCATAATGATTGATGGAAGATCGAAAGATGAATTTTTACAAGAATCCTTGAGCTACCTTTAATCATCACTTGGCATCTCATAGTCATCATTATCAGCATGCATTTTTTATAGAACTTAGCTGACATATGAATTTACAGTCCACCTGATGGTAAGTGGCTTCTGCAATCCATAGACACCTGCAGCCATCTTCAAGAAAAGATGGCTAAAGACATTGTCAGCACAACAGCATGCACATACAAGCACTGGTAATTAGCGACACAATACTTGTCAATTACATTATAAATGTCACAGATATCAGTGACAGAAGTTGTTAGGTAGGACATGTATTGATGGTAGAGAAAGGTTTCACAGCACTGTATTTCCCAAAGCCTTCAATTGAGACTTCGAGAACTTTACACTACAATCGAGACTTGATGAAATATGCAGAGTTGTGAATGAGGGTGGCTCAAGATCATACTTTATGGCAAGCATTTCGGGGAAGAGGATTTTTTTTTTTTTTATAGGATAAGTGTGACAAACGAGCACACAGTCCACCTGATGGTAAGTGGTTGCTGCGGCCCATAGACATCTACATCTATCCTCTGTTACAAATCAAAATGTAGATGCGTTGTCACCCGTGAGGACTAAGATGGAATGCCTCATTTCCAATAAAAAGGGCCTCCGGCCACCTGCACTCACCAAGCGAAACGCAGAGGTAAACCTATGTTCATCAGTATCTTTTGATAGGCTGTAATTATGATAATGAAAATATATCAAAGATATAGGCCATAACTTTTACAATAATATCTTAAAAGCTTACCTGGTGGCACTTTGGATATGAAACAAACTTCAAATGTGTCATAAGTCTCGGTTACAAATGTGAACTTTCCTTTGTTTATTGAGTCCTTCTGTGACAGAATGTGGCCTTTCGAATCTCTTACCTAAAATTTGTTTTAAAATAGTATAGTTATAGCTCATAATATGTTATTACTAAGATATCTGAGAATTTTCCAATAGTATTAATTGCAATTAATAAAGGTACACATGAGGTTTGCAGATTTGACTTACGATATAATCGACTCGTTGTCCAGGCGCTTCCACTACTTCATACTCTCCAGCAACAAGTACATTTGCATGCAACTCTTCTTTTAAGCATTTTTGAGTATTTGGAGCCAAACTCCACATGATTCCATGGCAGCCTTGCCAGAAAATACTTAAAAGGAAAACGGAATAGTACACATCCATGGTTTAGTAGTATTTTAATTTCATACACAAAAGAGGTCAAAATTCATAGCTTCATGAGCTAAAAACAAACATATTTTGTGTCAAAGACCGATGAGTTGGCCCAAAAAGAGAAAAACGTCGGCGTTTCAAGCAATGTTGCCAACCAAAGACTATAAATCACTTTCTTTTAGTTACAGACTCCAATGGTTCTGCCAGTGTGAAGTAATTTATTGGAAATTTTAATATACCTTATTTATCCAAAAAATATTTACGATGTATTATTTTTACGCCACTTTACGAAAACTTGTCACATTTTGATAACGGCTTATACTGATGACGATTATATCTTAAGGGATTTTGACATGAACTTGACTGCCTCAAATTTTAAATAATGGTCCTTTTGCTCCAGTATTATCCACAATGTAAAGTGGTAAAGAGTAAATAGTAACATCGTTTAACCATAAACTAGTAAGAAGCATTTATGCTGCAAAAGTAAATAGCAAAGTCGGCAAGGGACGCCTTAGGCGGAAATTCATCGACAAAATTGGCGATATACTGAAGATCCAAGATCCGATTCGAGAGTCCAAATTTAGAGTACCCTTAAAAATATGCGAGGGTCGTTTCAAAGGGAAGTCTGTAGACTCTGCATATCCCTCTGGGTAACCAGGGTGAGAGTTTGTTATGAAAAGAAATAAAGAAGTACTGTAGTAAAGTACCTATTATCGTAACAGTCCGTTTGCAGTAAAAGTGTAACACATAGTAAAATTTCCAAAAAACTTTTCACGCATCGAAATAATGTGGAGAATTTTGTGAACAAAATAAACAACAGGCTAGGTTGGATGAGCATAGATCTCTTTGCCGTGAAATAAAAAAGTACGTAATGTAAGTCTTGTTCTGTGTCTGTGGTGTCTGTCAAATGTCATGTCAACGCTCCTAATGTCAATTATTATAACCTAGTTCCAATGTTTAGATTTTTTAAAAACAAAAACTTTTACATTTCTTAAAGTTTATTATATTAAGTAAACGCAATATTATGAATATTTTAATATGTAGTGAATGTAACTATATTATAGAAAAAAACATAATTAGTGCCTTAAAAACAAAGACTAATGAAGTTTGACAGTTCACAATATTTTTATTTTATTTTGTAGGAAAGAACTCGGTTTTGTAGAATAACATACCAATTTAGCGATTATTTAGTAAATGTGTATTAGTTTTTTATATTTCATAATGACTAAGCTGGTTTTATTATGTTAGTTCAAACTGTAAGTTCAATAGATGTTTACATAATAGTGTAATGTAACTTGTCTATAAAGTTGTGACATTTATAAGAAAGTAAAATAGTTAATCATACGATTTATAGCATTGTAAGTATTTCTACTTTGACCTTAGCTATTTAGTTATACCAATATTGTATCATTTTATCTCTATGTGAAAGCAGTATTGACCTTTACAGAAAAGTATAGATTCTTAACTTTATATTTAAAAGTTTTACAATTCTCAATATCACCTTCCAAGTTTACCTCTACTTAAAAAAAACCTTTTCGAGATTGTGATACCAGGTATGAATTATTCCAAAGTAATAACCAAACTCACCATGCTTTTGCTGTGTATGTTGATGATACCTTCTTATTGCCAATACTGTCCCACCAGTCTGAGTTATGGGTCAGGCGTTTTTATATGATTTTTCAGTGTTAGGCAAAGTAAACTGTATGATGTTGATACTTTAAGATTTATCTTCAAGTATCAACGACATACAAATTACTTTTTGTATCCCTCTTTACAACATCATCAATGTGTAATAAATTGCATCATAAAGCCTATATACAACCCACTGATGAACACAGACTGCTCATATCTTAGAAGGTTATAGAGCAATAAGTTTTGTCATGCTTTTCCAATTCTTGTTGAAAGATTTCACACGATCTCATTACATAGAAATTGGCCAATAGCAAATTCAAACTAATCTGCAAATGAATACAATAAAGAAACAAAATGGTCAAGTAGACCTTGATGATAAAATTTTTGTAAAAATGGTAGGATTACATTAATATCGATCTATCAGGCTTTTTATCCATGCTTTTCTGTTTTTAATTTGAATTTACTTTTTAAATTGATTGCACTATTATTTATCCTTTTTAAGATGAATGTGAAGGTGAAAGGAGGTTGTTTTAATGAATGGCAAATAAATCAGCAGGGCTATTCACAATCGTCTCGGAAAGCGAAATCGACTCGGATTCGATAACTTCTCGCACCGAAACCAATAAACGCTATTAACATTTAACGTTCGGATAAAGGTCACTTAGATACATCCTATAACTATTGTATCGTCATTTAGTTACATGCATTTACGAATTTTGTAGATAAATAGGCTTTTGTATTTTTTTAGAGTAACGCCTGCACAAAAACATAATGCAATATTTTGGAGTTAGCCATTGATATCGAATATAAAAAATATATAATTTAACTATATAATAAATAACAAAAAAACTGAGATATGTCTCGTTTCTGTCGGGTCTGGGTTTTTTTCTATGGGGCGTGACCGTACTTCTTTGACGTTTGTTTTCGATAATTGTGACAGTTTGCATCGGAAACTTTACGAGAGCTCTGAGGCTGGCGAAAACTTTTCGAATATTGATAATTAGAAGAGATAAATAAACCCTTTTAATTATAAGGTAGGTAACAAAAATTAATTACAATTATCTATAAGACGTATTTTCATATAATTACTTCAATATTTGCACTTAATCGTAAAGCTGAATTTTTGTGAAAGGTGTGTTGTTATAAGTTTTCTATCACAAATATATATATGCTGCTTTGTGAAACGAGACATATCTCAGTTTTTTTGTTATTTATTATATAGTTGAATTATATATTTTTTATATTCGATATCAATGGCTAACACCAAAATATTGCATTATGTTTTTGTTTAGGCGTTACTACCTAAAAAAATACAAAAGCCTATTTATCTACAAAATTCGTAAATGCATGTAACTAAATGACGATACAATAGTTATGGGATGTATCTAAGTGACCTTTATCCGAACGTTAAATGTGAATAGCGTTTATTGGTTTCGGTGCGAGAAGTTATCGAATCCGAGTCGAATTCGCTTTCCGAGACGATTGTGAATAGCCCGGCTGATATTGAGATGATTTATGTGTAATTCAATATTCATATTAACAAAGTGTAAGATTAGGCGAAGATTATTTGAAACTAAGCTAATTAGAAATGTCTTTAAAATGATTTGGTATTATGATGCATTCAAAAATGTCTGCTTTTTGTATATTTAAGTTGAAAAGTGTTATAATTAGAAAATAATTAAATATAACGCATACACATTTTTTTGTATAGGTTGAGGGTGATAAAAAAGCACACAGTCCAACTGATGGTAAGTGGATACTGTGGCCTATAGAAATCTACATCTATCATTGTTTGCAAATCAAAATGCAGATGTGTTGTTAGCCGTGAGGACTAAGATGGAATGCCTCATTTCCAGTAAAATGGGTCTCCGTTTCTTTACAGGTGTGTGAGAGTGTGGTCCTTCCCCGGTCGAACTGACACATTCATGTTACAACCATAATATAGCTGCAGCGTGGCTGTACCATGTAAACTCTAAACAACATTTTGAAGTAATTCACAGTATAATTTTCAGAATAATATACAACTTCTGTTTAATTTCTTTTTTAGAGGATAAGGGTGACAAACGAGCATACAGTCCACCTGATGGTAAATGATTGCTGCAGCCCATAGACATCTACAACTGTCCTCGTTTGCGAATCAAAATGCAGATGCGTTGTCACCCGTGAGGACTAAGATGGAATGCCTCATTTCCAGTAAAAAGGGCCTCCGGCCACTTGCACTCACCAAGTGAAATGCAGAGGTAAACCTCTACTTCACGCTGGTATTCTGTGAGGTCGTGGTACCACCCCGGTTTGAGCTGGCCCATCCATGCGACAGCAAAAGCTGCCGTGTGGCTCTACCACTGTTAGATTTAGTTAGATTAATTGTATATAAGGCCCTTTAACTTAGCAAAAGACCTTTTACTTCTTTACTTCTTTAGCAAAAGACTTTTTGTCTTCCAACTTATTAATATTGCTGACTTTTATTTCAGATCTGTAACAGAAGCTAGAGTAGTACTGAAGATAATGAAGACAATAGTTACAATAATGAATAACAAATCAATAACTTATGGATGAGGTAAGTTTTATCAACACCAACCATTTTGTTTTCCACATTTTATATTTTGGACTGGGTCAGATAATCATACCACATTATTTCTACTTGTAACTCTGAGGTAAATTTTATAAACACCATCTATTTTTTTTTTCAGTTTTAATCTTTAGACTGGGTCAAATAAATATGTCACATTATTTTTAGTTGTAATATTATAATATTTGGCTCATACATAAATGTGGACTACATTAATATGTACTGGATTATTTTTAATTTTTTTTGCATACTAGGACTTTAATTTGACAAAAGTTGCTAGGCGATAGCAGTGTTTGCATTTCAGTCTGAAGGCTATAGAAAGCCAGAATAGTTACAGGATGTGAGGCATTCCATCTTAGACCTTAGAGGTGACAAGTCATATTTTGCTGTCCATGTGTGAATTTGGCTGCAGGTGTCCATGGACTGCAATAACCACCTTACATTAGGTGGACTGTAGATTTGTTTGTCGCTTCATTAATTTATAAAAGGTGTATAATATATTATGGTTATTTAAAATATTAAATTTCGGACCTACCCTAAAGTTAGACTACCTTTTATTAAATGCGTTTGGTGGTGCCATCTAGGAAAGAATAGAATAACCAATGTAATTATAACTAACGTCATTTAGAGGCGAAAACTAGTACTTATAATAATAAACTTACAATTCACTTACCAACTATTAAATAACATCATACTGTACTTGGCTAATTCAACTGTCATCCCACCCTTTTGCCACACTCTGTGAATGCCGAGTTGTTTAAAAGCTTACTACGTGGAAGGACAACTATTCTGCTTAAGAGTCTGTCTGGGTAGGTAGTACCCTCTTATATTTTTCTTTCAGCAAGCAGCAGTTTATGTACTGCTATGTTCCGACATTCAATCTTGTTCTCAGAAATGACAACCAATCAGTATCTTTGTTTGAAGTTGGTTAGTGGTGTCCATGGGCTGCATTAGCCACTTATCACCAGTAAACTGTATTTTTGTTTGTCATTTAAATGTTTGAATAACAATACCTAGGCCTGCTTGTTAAGGTGCAAGTGATGCTGTTACGAATAATATGCCTAGGTGTTGTCGCCCCTGACATTGAGATGGAATGCAGAGCAATTAGGTAAGATAAAAAGTAACGAAATTCGCGAAGCTATTGAATTAAAAAAAATCTAATTTCAATAGAGATTAACATTGGAATGTCAAAAAGTACTGTTTACGTGGTACAGCCACGCTGCAGTTATATATATTATGGTTGTAGCATGAATGGGTCTGTTTGAACGGGGTAGGATCAGACTCAAAGAATACGAGCATAAAACAGCAGCTTAATGCTGCTGTGTTTCATATAGTGAGTGTAAAGAACTGGAGACCCTTTTTACAGGAAACTGCATTCCATCTTAGTCCTCAGAGTTGATAAGACATCTACAATTTGATTCTTAACCGAGTATAAATTTAGATGTCTATGGGCCACAGTACCAGTTAACATCAGGTGGACTGTGTGCTCGGTTGTCACCCTTATTCTATAAAAAAAGTACAACACCTCAGTCCCCTGTGACCATTGATAATAATAATAATAATATACATAATAATAATAAAGCTAAGTACTTGAAACGTCAGTAATATAAAATAAGTTAATTAAATGTGATAAAACCTGTTAAATAACAACAAGCCTTATTCATTGTGTCTTGTTCACCTAAATATAAGACGTTAAGAGCAACCATTTCAGTAACTGTAAACCTTGTTTTTATAATCTGAGAACAAGACATGTCTTTTGTTTCATGTTAGTGCTTCTTGGCCTTCTTTTGCATACCATCTTACTTTACTTTTATAGTAATTTTAATAAAATTATCACATTCTTTATTATCATATCCAAATCTGTATTTTATTTCGTTGGTAATCCCTTATTGTAAAATATGCTTAGTGGCAACTTGGCCCAAAGTTCAATCAGCAAATTGTTAGAGCATAACTTATAAATGCATACTTTTTTTATAGGATAAGGGATACAAGTGGTTGCTGTGGCCCATACATGTGACTACATTTATATCCTCGATTGCGAATCAAAATGTAAATGCGTTGTCAGCCGTAAGTACTAAGATGGAATGCCTCTTTTCTAGTAGTAAGGGTCTCCGGTTTTCTTCACTCACCATACGAAACAGCAGTATTAAGCTGCTAATTATACGCTGGTATTCTGTGAGAGCGTGGCCCTACCTCAGTCGAGCCGACCCATTCGTGCTACAACTATACAATTAATATAGCTGCAGCAAATCTCTACCACGCCGTAGAACCTACCGTTAAAAGTATTAAGCCTACCGTTAGTTTTAACGTCAGTTGAATTTTGTAAGGAATGACTGATTAGTAAAGATTGCTATGGAATGGACTGGTTCAGTATATTTACACAAACTTTCCTTTATGTTTTCATTGTAGTTTCTGTTCCGACTACTCTTAACTTGATTTTTCTTGAACTTTGATTTTTTTGGTAAAAAATTATTGCTAAAAGCAAGCTTACATTGGCTCTAAAAGGTCCCTTCTCTTGGGGAAAAACTATTTTAATATTGGAAGTTTACTAAAAACTTTGGAAAAAATTACTTCAATTATACTTTATGTATAATATCTTTTTTATAAAACATTAATTTTAAAATAAAAGGTAAAATATATATGCGTTAAATACCTCAAGTGTAAGTGATCTTATAGAAGAATCTATCTCCCCATTTAGCAATGTAAGGAATGTAAGAGGCGACTATGGGAAATTTTAGTAAAATGTAATGGCTTCCGATAGATGGTATAACCATCTTGTTGTCAGGTGTAAAATATCCAAACCGGAGACGTTAAATGTGTGAGTCTTCTGATAGCGATCGCCAATCGGCGTGCTAAACGTGATGTTTACGATTTTTTTTTATTATGTGTTTTGTATGTTAACTTGATTTTTCTTGACCTTTGATTTTTTGGTAAAAAAATATTGCTAAAAGCAAGCTTACATTGGCTCTAAAAGGTCCCTTCTTTTGGGGAAAAACTATTTTAATATTGGAAGTTTACTAAAAACTTTGGAAAAAATTACTTCAATTATACTTTATGTATAATATCTTTTTCATAAAACGCTAATTTTAAAATAAAAGGTAAAATATATATGCGTTAAATACCTCAAGTGTAAGCGATCTTATAGAAGAATCTATCTCCCCATTTAGCAATGTAAGGAATGTAAGAGGCGACTATGGAAAATTTTAGTAAAATGTAATGGCTTCCGGTAGACGGTATAACCATCTTGTTGTCAGGTGTAAAATATCCAAACCGGAGACGTTAAATGTGTGAGTCTCCTGATAGCGATCGCCAATCGGCGTGCTAAACGTGATGTTTACGATTTTTTTTATTATGTGTTTTGTATGTTAACTTGATTTTTCTTGACCTTTGATTTTTTGGTAAAAAAATATTGCTAAAAGCAAGCTTACATTGGCTCTAAAAGGTCCCTTCTTTTGGGGAAAAACTATTTTAATATTGGAAGTTTACTAAAAACTTTGGAAAAAATTACTTCAATTATACTTTATGTATAATATCTTTTTCATAAAACGCTAATTTTAAAATAAAAGATAAAATATATATGCGTTAAATACCTCAAGTGTAAGCGATCTTATAGAAGAATCTATCTCCCCATTTAGCAATGTAAGGAATGTAAGAGGCGACTATGGAAAATTTTAGTAAAATGTAATGGCTTCCGGTAGATGGTATAACCATCTTGTTGTCAGGTGTAAAATATCCAAACCGGAGACGTTAAATGTGTGTCTCCTGATAGCGATCGCCAATCGGCGTGCTAAACGTGATGTTTACGATTTTTTTTATTATGTGTTTTGTATGTATCTTCGCAGATTGTGAACCAATTTTGATTATTCTTTTTATTTAAATCGGTTATACTTCTAGGGTGGTCCCAAAAAAATTTCACCCCTAAGGGTAAAAACAAATAAAGTCTACTTTAGCAATTTGAAGTCGGTTTTTACTTTTTGTTAAAGTTATAATTATTAGTGTCGCTTTTTAGTTTGATCGAGTTTCAAATCGCAACGATTCTAAAGAAGTTTTCACTTCAAAATATAAATCACAACAACAATAGTCTCAATCGCATTTTATTACTTACAAAAGTATTATTATGCAAATTGGATGATAATCACTATAAAGATGGTCAATCGTTTATGATTGCTTCTAAATATTCATCATTCATATTATATTACGGCTTGCTTTTTTCACATTAGCAGTGCCTGGCATGCGTTACAATGTTTTTTTTTGTGAGAAATCTTCGTGGACGCGCGCACAACTCAAGTTTCATCGTAATTGGATGAATGGTATAGGAACACATAAAAAAGAACAAGCAAATATTTTTATATATTATAGGTTAAAGCAAAGAAATATTCGACACCATTTTCCCTTATTCAGGGTTATGCTTATTGGATAATATTGAAGGACAATTATATTATATGCCCTAAAAATGTTGTGTTTGATATGCGAAGGACACCATTTACAAAAACTTATCAAAAGCTTTCGACAAATTTTACAGCATGTTTTTGTTTGGCCAAGGTTACCGGATAACAGTTTTGTTGATCTTTTATTTCAAACCTTTAATGGTTTCAAAACTACTTAAGGAAATTATAATTCATAATAAGTCATTCATCTTACACAGCCAAATAGGTCGTCCTTACACCCCAAGGGTGCCTTTTGGGACCCATTTTGTAAATATTTGTTAACGATGACCTCATAAGTAAATATTTGTTAATTTGCTAATTTTTCGGAACTAGTTGTAACGTTAAATTTAGCAGATAGATTGGTGATCGAACGGTCGTAGTACCTAGGCGTTTCACACCTTAGACGCTGCACATCGAAAACACAAGTCATGGAATAATATACTAGTTTAATGTTAAGTTCTGCTTGTTCGACGTAACGTTCAGTAATGCACTCTAGTTCCATCCAGCCATTGCTATATCAGACTTTCTTTTGGGTCTCGTTATCTCGGGGGTTCCGTATCA